GTGTGTGTGTGTGTGTGTGTGTGTGTGTGTGTGTGTGTGTGTGTGTGTCCTGTACCAAGGCTTGAATTCTGAGTCTTTCAGTTTTTCTATCCATGGCTGGTGCTCTACCACTTGAGCCATGCCTCCAGTTCTGGCTTTTTGCTAGCTAATTATACATAATTAAGATAAGATTTGTCTGCTCTGTCTGGCTCTAAACCTCAATACTCAGATATCAGCTTCTTGACTATGGAGGATTATAGATGTGAGCCACCAGTACCCAGCTTTGATTTTCTTACATTTTTATTCCACCGCTCAGTTCTCAGTTTTGTGGTTTATCATCTCCATAATTTTTTAACTATACTCATTACCTTACAATGAGAGTTATAATTAGGTAAGCCAGAAACAAGGGATATTTTCATTTTATCAAGACATTAAAAGAAACAGCCGGGCGCTGGTGCCTCATGTCTCTAATCCTAGCTACTCAAAAGGCTGAGCTGTAAGGATCGAGGTTCAAAGCCAGTCTGGGCAGGAAAGTCTGTGAGACTCTTATCTCCAATTAAGCACCAAAAAAATGGAAGTGGCACTGTGGCTCAAGTGGTAGAGCACTTGCCTTGACCTGAAGAGCTCAGGGACAGTGCCCAGGCCTGAGTTCAAGACCCATGACCAAAAAAAATAAGAAAAAAAAAAGGCACTCTGGCTTCTGACTAATGACTAACTAGGAAGAAAGTATTTTTTTCAGCAACTGTTCTCATAGGCAGAGCCATTGGTCTCAAAGCTTTCCTGAGTCACAGGCTGATGGCAAGATGGCAGATGATCTTCAGAGGTGATGAAGGAACTCTTGTTCTTGCTCTTCATTATGTCAACATGTCTAGAGCTGACATGATGATTAAGCTGTATGACTCCCTATTTGCAAAGAGCATTGGCTCTGCAATTAGAAAAAAAATCAGAGTTTTATCTTCAGCTCCCCTCACTATCTATGAAATTTGGGAATAAATATTTCATCTCTGAGTTTCAGTTTTCTTTTCTGAATAATCTTTTTTTGGGGGAAATATATACAGGTATGTGTATATATATATATATATATATATATATATATCATAAATACACAATGTCAAAGTATATATCTGTGATTGGCACATAGAAAGGCTTCACAGTGATACCTACCACCAGAGTGAGCAGATGAGAGTGTTCAGGGTAGTGTAATATCTGAGGATAGATGCAAGTGTGTGTCATCAAATAAAGGTCCAAAAGTATTATGAGAGAAAATAATCATGAGCTAAGCCAGTGACAAATATAGATGAAAACAAGTTAAATCCTACAATTAAGTTACTCTTCGTTTTGACTTTGTCCTAAATGACAAAATCAGCATAGAATGGTCCATCGTAGTTTGAATGCAGGGAGATTACCATGGAGACAGTAGTAAGACCCAAATACTTATTTATTAGGTATAATCTTGTATTGTGCAAGCATATGTTGTGCTAAATCCAGAAAATTAAGGCGCTTAAAGTACTTTGTTGTGGCCATATTCCATCTGGAGTGTCATGCTTAGTTCTAGGCACTGTATTCAGAAGAATATTTGCAAAACATAATATAACTTGGAAAGGAAATCAGAGTGGTGAAATGTTTATAGGAGAGAGAGAATTGAGGAGGCTAAGAATAACCAAGGGATACTTAGAATTCAATAAATGCCCTCAAACACATAAAGAACAATAAATTTATAGAGTAATAGTTACAATTAATACACACTGAGTACCTAGGTACAAAGTAGTCTCTGCTATCCTTAATCTACAGATGAGAAACAGAGGCCCATGGAGTCTAAGTTACATATTTAAGTTACACAGGCAATAAGGACTAGGCCATCTCTCTCCCCAGTACTCCATTTCTAGATCTGGATGGGATATTAGGGCTCTCTGTTAATTATTTCTACCCTTATAGGAGGATCGTGGTAAGTTAGGTCCCCAATTTTTTCTTGTTTTTTTTTTGGGGGGGGGGGGCAGGGGGCAGACCTAGGGCTTGAACTTAGGAGCTGGGTGCTGTCCCTGAGTTATTTTACTCAAGGCTAGTGCTCTACCATTTAAGCCACAGCTCCACTTCTGGCTTTAGGGCGGTTCATTGGAGATAAGAGTCTCCTGGACTTTCCTACTGCGGCTGGTTTTGAACCAGGATCCTCAGATCTCAGCCATTCTGAGTATATAGGATTACAGGCATGAGATACTGGTGTCCAGCTTTTCTCCAATCTTTTTGTTGTTGTTGCTTTGTTTTCGTCAGTCGTAGAGCTTGAACTCTGGGCCTGGGCACTGTCCCTCAGCTCTTCAGCTCAAACCTAGTGCTCTACCACTGGAGCCACAGTACCACTTTCCAGTTTTCTGGTGGTTTATTGGAGATAAGAGTTTCATGGAGTTTTCCTGCCCAGGCTGGCTTTGAACTGCAATCCTCAGATTTCAGCCTCCTGAGTAGCTAGGATTACAGGTGTGAACCACTGGTACCCAGCCTTTAGTTGAGTGTGGGCACAGGATTTGCTTTGTCCAAAAAAAAAAGTGAGCTGACATCATACATTCATTAGGGCAGTAAGAGTTTGTAACTTGCCACGTGCTCAGGTTGTCCCACTCAGATATGTAGAGATGAGGCCTCCACCAATTTTGGATGAGGAGAGCTTCCCTGAAGACCCATGCTGGATAGATAAGTAGCAGAAGCAAGACACCATCATTGTCTCACTAAGCCACACAGGTTTGAGAGTTACTGTGGCATTACCAAACTTCTCAGACAGACATTGGGGAGGAGGGGGGAGGCAGTGGGGACGTACTTCAAATCTTTAAAGAATCTCCAAATAAGGAAAATCTTCCATTTTGAGTTCAAAGCTATGCATAATTTGTAGAAGCCATAGGTAGAAAGATTTGGTCTTATTTTCTCTGTTAAAAGAGGTTTTTCAAAAGTTGCTTCACCACAATGGCAGAGGCCAAGTGATCCACACGGGAAAGTGAGCGGCTTCACTAAGGAAGTTTAAGCAAACATTTACTGAGAATCCTCCATGTGCCAGGCATTCTAGGCACAAAGACAAATCCAAACACACAGTCCTTGTGCTTAAGGAAATAATATCAAGTGCAGAACTAGATAAAGTCTATGTTTTCCAGTCAAATGACAGATAATGACATAGGCTGGATGAGGAAGACAGCAAGCCTGAACTTACAAATAACCACATGGCACTAGAAACCCTGCAGATGCTTAGGTCGTATTATTATTTTTCAATTAGGAGCCAAAAGTATAGGGCTTGCAAGGGGAGGGAAATGGGAGAATTGCTGGGTTGAAAAGGAAGAACATTTTCCCTTTCTCTAGTTACCGTTGTTTTCTCTTGCAAACCAGGCTTATTATCTGGCTTACATCAGGGGTGTCCCAGAGAAGGGAATAGTCTGACTCACGGCAATTGTTTCTGACCTTTTCCATGGCTTCTGCCACTCCTCCCAGCCAGGAAGGGAGCCTTTCAGTACAGATCAAGTCAGACTTGAAGAGAGGCAATTACCTCTCTATATAGGGCTATTCTTCAGTTCAGAAACCAGCCACAGCTTTTCCAAAATATGAGGTGTTTCTTTTTTTTTCCTAAAGGGTGTGTCAGTAGTGCTTCGAGGATTTCCATAATCAAAAAGGGATGTGAAAAATTCTCAAATAAATGATTGACCCCAAAGAATGCTCTACCACTGTGTCATAGATAGCACCTTACAGCAACCTTAACTCCACCACCTCCTCTCCCGGGTGGAATCAGTAGTTACAAAGTTTGTTCTGTTAAACTTTTGAAAATTAAACAGAGGAGATACAGGCTGTGCTTCTATTGGCTGGCTGCATTTCAATGGAAAACTACGATCAGGATAAGCATGAACTGTAATCGTTCTGAGGCAGGCATTTCCATTTCAGGATATTATTCATGATGGTATTAGTGTGGAATAATATATGCTGATGGATTCTGCAGCCATTACCTAGATGAGGGAGACAGAGGGCATCTGATGTTTACTATGCCCCAGCTCAAAACCATCAGCTCTAACTTTGAGTCCCCCAGGCCTGCCCAGCTCTTGAATTTTCAGAACTATGACTCTGCTTTTTTTTTTCCTCCTTCTTCTTCTTCTATGAAACAAACACTTAAATCATCAGGATAAGCTGGATTTCCGTGCTATCCCTTCAGAATTACTCTACAAGACACACAGAGGGGGAAAAAAAAAAAACTGGTTTTGACACATGTAAGCACAGCAGGGCATTTGCAGCTCGTGCTAGCTTAATATGCACCCTTAATACCCTCGTCTATTTTCAAAAAATATGACTTTTTTTTTTAGTAGAGACAGCTGGATCCCTGTGATACCCGGTCTTGTGCCAAATTATGTCCACAAATATACTCTCTCTCTCTTTCTCTCTCTCTCTCTCCACACACACACACACACACACACAGATGTGAAGTGAATGCCTTGCTAGGGGACAGGAGCAAGGCAGAGAGAGATTCGGGTGTTTAGGCTAGTGGATCCACACCCAAAAAAGTTTCAGGGACAGAATGATAGGAGAAACGGCCCATGAAGAGGAACTCATTTTCCCAGCATCAGTTTACCCTCTGCCCCGGTGACCTTGGGGCAGGGGTGGCGGGGTGGGAGGGGGGCGGGGGACAGGATAGTGTGTTGTTGGTTACTTGGTGGGAGAGAAAGTCTGGAAACCGCTAAGCCCTTCCCGAGCTGACTGGGCAGACACACCCACCCAGAACGAACAGCCCAGGGGTGCGGGGCAAGGGGGCAGGGGTTCGGATGCAGCGAGGGGCAGGGGCGTCTGGGACCCTCGCAGTGCCACAGGGAGACGCTGCGGGGTCCATGGACGGCGCTTCTTTTCTTTCTTTTCTTTTTTTTTTCCTCCCTCCCTTCCCCTCCCCCCACGCTCCTCTTTGCAAAGTGAGCTCCAGAAAGTTGTCCAGGGCCTGGGCGGGCCAAGCTGAAGGGGGGGGGGGGGCGAGAAAGAGAGGGCGGAGAAGGCACCCCAGTCCCAGAGCACCTTACCTGGTCCTTGGGACCCAGGTTCTGCAACACTTCCTTGCCGGTAGCAGTCCGGATCTCCACCCCGGCGGGCGCGGGCGGCGCGGGCGCGGGCTCCCGGCTCTCCTCTCGGCCTTGGCCCCTGCGCGCCACGGTCTCCGCTTCGTCCCCGGCCCGGCTGCCCGCGCCGCGGCCCTGGCTGCTCCGCGGCGTCTTGGCGCCCCGCTGCCCCACGCTCAGGGCATCGAAATCCAGCGTCTTGCTCTCGAAGGCGCCCTCCACGCTGCAGAACATGCCGCCGTACTTCTGCCGCGGGACCTGGTCGGTGGTGCCCGGCCTGGCCAGGTACACGGGCAGGTCTTCCTCGTGGGAGCTGTCCCAGCCCCTGCGCCCCGTGGCCATGGTGCCGGCGCCGCGGAGCCCCGCGGATTTCCTTCCCCGGAGTCGCGGAGGGCAGCGCCGCCGGCCGCGTGCGCCGAGCCACAGTGACTGGGGGCGGGAGGAGGCGCCTGAGCCCTGGCGCGCCAGAGGCGGCAGTGCTGCTCCGACTCCTGCCCGGCCCCCTGCCCAGCCGCCAGCCAGCGCGCCCGGAGCGCGTCCCCGGACGCTGGGCTGCACCCCCTGGCTCCTCGCGGGACCTCTTGCCCACCAACCGGGAGGAACCCCCACCTCCCAGCCCCCCTCCCCCAGCCCCGAGTGGCCTCAAGGCTGATGCAGCGCGGGTGCTCGTGGCAACCCCAAAGCCAGAGTTTAGGGCTGGCGCGCACGCGGGTTCCCTCACTCCCAAGCCGCTCAGGTGTCTTAGAAAAGCTCGCCTTCAGGACCTTGACTTCCTGGGTGCTCGCACCCTGCGTGGCTCGCGTCCACATCCCAGCTTGAGTCACACACACACACACACACACACACACACACACAAGTCCTGTTGACCCTGGTTGGCACATAAAGCAACTTGTTCACAGCCAGAAAAACTCTCGCCGTGCACTCACAATCCTTCCCAAAAAAGCCAGATTGCCCCTTCGGATCTATGAATTGTCTCTCAATGACACCCACTTCCAGAATCTGCCCCACAAATCTGCACTTGTGAAGTGGGTCACACATGCACAGAGAGAAGGGGCTGGGGGGGGGGGAGAACCCCCTGACTTCACCAACAATCACAGAACCAATTCTTACCTCTCATACACCATCCTAGACCTTGCTTTTTACCTACATTAGCCCTCCACCACCACATTTAATTATAGGAGATCACAGACAAACTTCTCTCTAGCATCTGCCTTGCAAAATGCTCTAAAGTAAGGCCCTGTCAGTCATATAGCAAACCAAAGTCTTAGACCTCACATATTGACTGAAGCCCAGATTGATCTCCCTCAAACCTCTATGTAAGACTAGATTTACCTTAAAAATACATAACCAAAGGCTTTGCCTTCTACGTCACCCCATATACACAGAAACTTTTCTTAGGTGTGTATAGGCTCTCATAACCTTTACACACACACACACACACACACACACACACACACACGAGTCTAGATGTTGCCACATAAACACAGAATGGTGAACTGCAATGCTTTCCTGATATCTGTGCATACAATCTAACCACAGAACTGACAATGCCTGGATTTATCTGGGTCTCACCCAAAAGTGTATTCACTGATTCAGTCAACCAATAAGCATCAAGTGACTACTACCCTCTCCAGAAAATACTGAAACAGAACAGAGAGAGCCAATCCTCATCAGAAGTATAGTCTAAAGTCATTCTTCTAGGCACATTCAATCATTGCTCTCAACAAAACCAAAGTGTTAAACAGAAGATTGGCAGCTCACGCCTGTAATCCTAGCTACTCAGGAGGCTGAGATCTGAGGATCACTGTTTGAAGCTAGCCATGGATGATAAGTCAAGGAGATGCTCCTGTCCAGTTAACTGGTAAAAAGTCAGTAGGGGAGGTGTGTCTCAGGTGGTAGACAGTCAGCTTTGAGAGGAAAAAGCCAAGCAAAAGTGCAAAGCCATGGTTCAAGCACTAGCACTGGTACAAAACAAGCAAGTAAAACCCCAAACATTTTCTTTTCTGTCACTAAGCCCCACAAGAGCACATCTCTGGCCTGTTTAGTTCACCTTTGTATATGATGTGTGTAGAACACCTACAGATACAGATTGGCACTCTGTCCATCTTAATAACAGTGAGAACCCAGGAAGCTATTGCTCTTTGCTATATATATATGTATATATATATATATATATACATATATATGTATATATATATATATATATAAATGGATTCATTGTTCATAAGCATGTGGGGAGTGTCTCTGAGCACACAAGCACAGTCTTGGAAGGCATCTGCACTGGATTTGTTGAACTGAAACTCAGAACTCCAGTTTTGGGGGTGATACATTATGGAGGACTGGGACACTAAGGAATCTCAGAGTGTCAGACTCAGGACTGCCACAAAGTTATATGGAGCAGAAGTTGACCTAGACTCAGAACAAAGAAAAGTGTCTTGATACAAGTTGCCTCTGGTGGAGACAGGCACTCACTAAACTGCCTATGGTCTATCATAATTGTGTATTTCTTAAACTGACTTCCTTTTGAGGTAGTTGGGGTGTGTGTGTGTGTGTGTGTGTGTGTGTGTGTGTGTGTGTATAAATACTAGGGTTTAACTAAGGGTCTGGATGCTGTCCTTTAGCTTTTCAGTCAAGGTTGGAACTGTACTATCTGAGCCATATCTCCAACTACTGGCTCCTTGAGAATTAATTGGAAATAAGAGTCTCACAAACTTTCCTGCCCAGTCTAGCTTCAAACTGTAACTCTCAGATATTAACTCCTTAGTAGTTAGGATTACACTTATGAACTACCTGTCCCCAGCAGCTGATTAGTAGTAGACTCTGAATTTCATGTGAGGAATTCATCATATAGTTCAATTTGCTCTGTCTTTGCTAGGTAGCTTGTTTTCTTTCACTTTTTCTATTGATAATGATTTCTTCAGTCTTTCATTCATTTGCAGGCTCTATAAAGAGAAACCCTTGCTTTATACCTACACTGTGGCAGGTCCCCATGACTGTGGAATAAAATGACTGGGCAGGGCACTGGTGGCTCATGCTTGTAATTCTAGCTACTAAGGAGGCTGAGATCTGAGGACTGCAGTTTGAAATAGACCAGGCAAGAAAGTCTGTGACACTCTTATCTCCAATTAACTACCAGAAAGATAGAAATTGATCCATGGCTCAAGTGGTAGAGTGCTATCTTTGAGCAAAAAAGCTCAGAGACAGTGCCCAGGCCCTGTGTTCAAACCCAAGGACAGGCATGAACACACACACACACACACACACACACACACACACACACACACTACAGATAGTCACAGAGAAACAAAGAGCTATGATGAAAATAAGACAATGAGCTAACCTATATATATTAAGAATTTGTAAGTACCAAAATTTGTATGTTCTTGTTCTTTACTAAGGACTTCCCATGTAGTATTTTTACTACTTTCAGTAATTCTGCAGGTTGGATATTACAAATTTTGTATACATAAGGAAGTAGTTTGAATGTTTAACTTTTGACAGTCATAAGTAAAGTAAGACATGCACAGAGTGTAAGTTTTCCTTTGAGAAAAATCACACTCAGAATGTGGATACATGCTTGCAAGTGCTCAGGTGTGCTGGTGCACACACTTACTACCATGTTTTGTGGCTGTAGGTGAGCTCTGCTATCATGGCTGTATTACATCTCTACTGAATCTAATACCACACTTAATTAAGAAAGCAAGGCAGGGGCTGGGAATCAATTGTTCACACCTGTAATCCTAGCTACTCAGGAAGCTAAGAGCTTAGGCAATGGTTCAAAGCCATCCCAGGTTAGGAAGTCCTTGAGAATCTTATCTTCAATTAACCAGCAAACTGAAAATCAGAAGTGGAGCCATATATGGCTCAAGTGGCAGAGCATTAGCCTTGAGCACAAAAATCTCAGGACAGTGCCCAAGCCCTGAGTTCAAGTGCAATACTGATATACACACAAAAAGAAAGTAATGAATATATATACATATACATATGTAATATACATAACAAAAACATATATACATATATGATTGAAATGAGAATACTATTCTGAACCCAATTCTTCAACTGTTGCCTTAGAGAAATGACTTGTTTCATGTATTTGTGGCTTTTCCCTTCAAGTCTGCCTTACCCTCATAAACAGGTTTAAGGACTTGATTGTGTGAGGAAGACGCAATAATGAGCATTTCATACACAACATCTAATCATCCTAAGGACCTTTTAAGTCTATTGTGATTATTGCTCTCCCTTTTACCAGCGAAGACAAAGACACCTGGAGATGTTAAGTTCCTTGCCCACCATACTGTGACTAGTACCTCCAACTGGAATTAAAACATGTCACAGGAAGTCAGCATAGCTATTAACCTTGAATATTGAGTCTTGGGGAGAAAAGTCAGGCAACACATGCACACACGCATACACGCACACACACACACACACACACACACACTGGCAAAAGCGATGGGATAATTTGTTAGGAATCAGATATGGAAGAGAAAGAACATCATTTCCCAGAACTTCACTTCATTTTTAGACACCTTTAGGGTACATATAAAAGCACTATTGTTCTAAGAATGGAGTCTCCCATCGGGACCATGGTTCTAGGCCTCCTTCATCACAACAAAAGGATAGAGACAGGTTCAGTTAAAGACAGGAAAGCAGTTACATGAAGAGATGACTCCATGAGCTGACCTGGAAGGCTGAAACAGAACACAACTAGGCTGGATGTCATTGTGCGGAGTTTGTGTGCTGCCTTTTTCGCTTTGAGCAGGTTCATTGATAGGTGGAACTCATGCAACAGATGTGCATCTGTGCATGCCCTGGTTTGTTGGAGTTGACTGAATTGCCTGTGTATATGCTTTTAATGGAGATTGGGTAGTCCTGAACCAAGGTCTTGGGCATGGTTGGGCCAAAAAGTCATTTTAGAGACATTGTCTTCTTCCCTGATTCATATGCACTGTGTGAGGGCTCTGCTTTGACAGATATTCTCAAGTACTGGGACTTGGGGTTAGTTTGTCAAGTCCCTGGAAATGTATCAGCATCTTTATTGTTTTGGGGCCTTGGTATGTTTCTTACAGAGGCCAGATTTGTGGGAAGATCTATGGACCACCTGGGCCCTAGACACCATCTACCCATTGCCCTGGCAACCAGAGGCCCTGGGCTGACTGCTTCACTTTAACTTGCTAATGTAGATCCTGTACATTCTCTTTCCCTCCCTCCCTCATTCCCTCCCTCCCTCCCTCCTTCCCTCCCTCTTTCTGTCTCTCCCTGTCTTTGTCTGTCTGTCTGTCTGTCTGTCTGTCTGTCTCTCTCTCTCTCTCTTACTCAATAGTACTGAGGTTTGAACACAGGGCTTTGCTGGGCTAGTGCTCTACTAC